ATTTGTTAGTCTCTAAGGTGCCACAAGTACTCCTGTTCTTCTTTTTGCGGATACAGACTAACACGGCTGCTACTCTGAAACCTGTTATTAGTAGTAGTTACTATGATCCACCTGTTATCTCTCATCTTATACTTGGAGCATAAGCTCTTTGGGGCTGGGCCCTTTTCTCTGGTCTATGGTTGTGGAGCACTAAGAACAATGGGGCTCCCCAGGTGCTAACCCAATGCTCATAAGAGACACTGGCCTATTGGCTAGAACACCAGACTGGGCCTCTGAAGCTCTGGGTTCTAGTCTTGGCTCTCCCACAAGACTTGTGGATGACCTTGTGCTTGTCACATCACCTCTCTGTGCCTCAGTTTCACTATCTGTGAAATGGGGATGATGATTCTAAACTCCTTTGTAAGTGCTTTGAGAAGAAAATGCAGATGAAAATCACTTCATAGGAGTGAGGTATCAATTAATGCTATTATTTATTATGATCCCAGTCACTGGAGGTTTTTAAGAACAGGTTAAACACCTGTCAGGGAGGGTCTCGGTTTACTTGATGACATACGTATTTCAGCATAACAGGCTGGACTAGATCTCTTCTTGAGCTCCCTTCTAATCCGACATTGCGGTGATTCTATACCCTGATCATGCACATGTTTAAAGTTGCACAGGGAGTAGTTCCACAAAGTCCACTGGGACTAATCACAGTGCATATAGTTATGTACATGCTTAAGTCTTTGCAGGGTCATGGCCTTAGTCTGATAATTAGGCATCTCATCCATCTTATTTAATTCAATTCACTTATGTCTTATTTTAGGTGTGTTCTACTTATTACTGCACCACTGAAAAGCAAAAAGGTCATCAAGTGCAGAAGATAAGTTCTTAAACTGTTTTAATTCACTGCAATGACATGCCACGGTATTAGGGGGAAAAGACAGATTTTGGGTAGTGATACCATTTACTTTTTATTCCCCTGTCATTGTCTTGCATCGCATCTACTCCACTTCAATCAGCAGATCTCATTATCCTGTCACATACCCCAGTTATCCATCAGCATGTGCAATGCCACAGATTTGACTGCGGTTACTGCTGTATTACATCAGTGAACCAAGAGTGAGCGGAGTTTGGGCCTCTGAAATTCAGCAGCTGGTGAACAAGGCAGAACAAAGCTCATTCTCTTTCATCATCTCATTTTACTGTTTTCTCAGCGCCAGGAAGGAATTAAAGTAAGCAGAATAAATCCAAGTTACTTGTGGGTTGTTAGTCTGTAATCTCTGTCTCATCTAAGATCCTCCCTCACACACCACACAGTATAAAAGCATCACTGCTATCACAGGGTCTGTAGTTGCCACAGAGCTGATTTTAAGTAGCTGTTCACCACCAGCAAGGCAAGAAACAAACCAGCGAAGCAGCCATGGACAACAAGATCACATTCTCCCTCCTGCTGCTTACTCTCACAGGCGTCTGTCAAGGTAAGCAATTCACAGTACTTTTAGTCTTTTCCCTTGTTAATGCCTTTTACAGTATTTGCAGAAAAAAAAAGTGTTGTAATGTAAAGGTGTATGGAATTACTGAACGGCTTTAAACTCAGCACACACACTGTTTAAGAGAACAGACCACACAGAACGCATGCAGAGTTTAAGACAATTCCAGCTATGGCTTCACTTCTAATCCCAGAGCAGTTTTAAACAGATGGAACTCCACTGCCTTTGGTGACGTGATGCCTGATTTACACAGATGAAAGTGAGATCCGAATCAGACCCTCAGTACAGGAACAGGGTAGTGTGCTGCACTTCGGGTACTCCAAGTCTTTCCCCTGCTTGAGGTGTCCATGATGTCGACCACTCCAGGAGAGACCCAGAACCTCAAACTCAGCTGTTGGCTGGTTATTAAAGGGGGGAGCTGATTTGCAAATCGGTTTTCTGACAGTTATTTCAGCTGATTCACTCCAGTCTTTTAGGGTCCTACACTCCGTTCCCTTGTGACGTGTGGTGGTGAGCAAATCAACGAAAGCTAGGACAGGAAAGCCTCACCGGTGGGGGAGAGAGAAGAGCAGAACTAACACAGAATAGTCCCCATCTCTTCTGTTAAGGCTCCGGAAGACCTTTGGCTGACGTGGGAACTCCATGGGGACAGGTCAAGTGTAGCACCATGGAGCAGCTGCTGTGTGCTGCTGGCTAGTCGAGTGGATGTTTGCACCAAAAATTAACTAGGCTTCTAGCAGCATCCGTTTCTGCCTCGTTCCTGTGCTGCTCTCAGCCAGGGAGGTAGAAGAGGAGCTTGGTGCAGCTAGAAAGCTTGTCTCTTTCGTTAGCCGAAGTTGGTCCAGTGAAAACCTCACCACCTTGTCTCTCTAATATCATGGGAGCAACACTGCAAACAGGGAGCTATTGGTCAGGTGTGGACAGAGGAGCCTATGGCAGTATTGTCTCCTAGGGATCTGTGAAGGGGAACAGGGGGCTGGACAGCACCATGGAGGAACTAGCACACGGTACGGTAAGAGTTTGCTTTCCTTGCTTCATCAGTGTCCCACTCACCCAGCTCCTCTCTCCTGAGGGGAGCAGCTATTGGTCATGCCACACAACAAGGGGAATCTTATTAGACTTCCTGGCTCCTCCATCTTATTGGACTTGCAGGCTCTGCTAAGAGCGGGTACCGCATGGCCCTTACTGGCTGGGATCCTACACGGATGATTCTGAGCTTTGTGTCTTGTCTCAGAGAACATGAGCTGATCCATACAAATATAAGTCTGAGCGTCCTTATTTAACTCTCCTTTTTATACAAGCCTCTGGATTGTCGCCCTGTGCTTGTGAGGGGAGGCGGTAGAGCAGGGCGTGGAAGGCTGCTGTGTGCCAGACCGCCGGGAGCTGGAGGAGGAGGTTGAAGTACAGCAGGGTAGTCAGTCTCCAGCCCCTTGAAACCTCCGCATGCAAAAGTGCTGCACTTCCCTACACACGCCTCACTCGGGCTGCCCTCCAATTGCCAGCCACGAGTAACTGGGCAGCTGTGTAACAACATGCTTGTTCCTGCGTGCTCTCGGTCACGCTCGTCCTTTTGCTTACAGCTTGTACTCCCAAGCCTCTGTCGCTGCACTATGCAGCATCAAGCCCTCTCAGCCTTTCCTTTCCTTTGTGTCAAAGACATGTCATTTGTTCAAATGATGGGTGTTTAAAGGTGGCAGAAGTAGTGTATCTTTGTTCATAGGCACAACATAGAAACGGCTGTGGCTCAGCGCTGTGGTTCGTTGAACACAATGCTGGTCTTGGAACTGAAAGACCGGGGATCAAGTCCCTGCTAGGCCAGAGACTTCTGGTGTAATGTCTGTTACCGGCTCAATTTAAGGTACCCTACCAAAGGTTCAAAGTGTGACCTGGCCAATTTAAGGCACCTTGCCTATACCCTACCGAGGGCTCAAGACATGACCCCCTCAATTTAGGCACCTCCACCCTTTCCCTTCTGAGGGCTCAGGGTTTAAAGGCACCTATCCTTACCCATGGGGCTCAGGAAGAAACCTGGTCAATTTAAGTACCTGCCCTTTCCCTCAGGGGTCTCCAGAACCTTCTCCCAGTGAAAGAGCCTTACACTTGTGCTCTAAACATCTAATTATTAGCAACACACACACAGAATACATAGATCAAGCAAATCTCTTATGCTCACCACTCCCAATATACAGACAAATTTCACCCAATGGCCAGTCAGGATTCATCCGTCTGGGGGTTCCCAGCGATGCCTCTGCACCTCACGGTCATGCAGAAGGGCCAGAGTTCCAACAGCTTGATGTTGAACTGCAGTCTGGAAATGGTTCCCCAAAAGCATTGGGTTTTCATTTACATTATATAGATAAAACTAGCTCCCTCCTTCAAATGTACTAAACCTATCCCATGATCCCACACTCCTAAATAACAAAACTTGTGACCAATTACACACTGGCACCTATGTGTCCTCCTTCCTTCCCAAGTTCTTTACATTTTATCTTTCATGCCCAAATTGTAACTTAGTTGTGACCTTCTCTATTTGTGCAGATGGTCAGGAAAAAAATGCTGCTCAGAGCTTATCTTACCATTTGTTGAGTCTCTGTATCTTCCCTAGTTTCCCAGCGTCTTTACAACCTTGGTGGTTATAACTCCCCTTAGGGACATTCCTGAGGAGGGGGTGCTTTATCAGCAGCAGAACATTCCTTTTTTCAATTTTAGTGGTGAACTAACTCCCTGAGTTTCACCCAAGGCTGGTTTAATATGGGGGGTGGGAAGGTTTGAGGTCTCAGGCCTCCACCTCAGGCTAGTCACTTAGTCTTTCTGTGCCTCAGGTCCCATCTGTACAATGGGGATAATGGGGCTGCTCTACCTCACAGGGGTGTTGTGTGGAAAAAGCCATCACAGATTGTGAGGTACTGTGGTACCAAATAAGTACCTAAGATAGATCATATCCTGTCTCGGACAGTGTCAGATGCACAAACCCTACAGCTGGCAGATCTAGTAGAATGTGCATCCTAAGAAGGTCTTGTCCTAATCCCCATTAGTGAGAGTGGCTTAAACCCTGCAACGTGTTTTTCTCCCTTCCATACACTTTTTTGGAGCATTAACTTAGTTCAGTTCCTCACTCAGTGATGCCCCTCACTTTCCTTCCCTCACAGAGTCACTTCTGGGTGGAGAGTTGCGGTGTCACTGTCTCCAGACTGTCTCGGGTTTGATATCACCAAAGCACTTGTTACATGTGGAAATCATCCCCAAAGGCCCACAGTGCGGCACCGTGGAAGTCATGTAAGTTGAAACCACAGGATTTCACAAGCCAGTGGCCATCCGAATGGAGTGCTTGTGAAAGCTGCAAGATTGACAGCATTGGGGAATGGAAACCCTCGCTTTAGCCCCAGAAGACCGTTCTCTTACCGTTTCTGAGCTATTTGGTTTGCTCATCCATTGTTTTAGAAGCTCCACCACAGGCTGGAGTAGTGGGGCACCTGCAGGACAAATACACTGTTGTGGAGGAGGAGGAGACACCTAACATGCAGAGCTCCTAAATCCCACAAGAGCAGAGCCCCGCTCCTGTATAGCTGAGCAGGGCACCTGCCATGTGGCATTTCCCTCTCAGTGGTGCAAGTAGAAATCATTTCTTGCCGGTATGCTGCATGGGAGAGACACAAAAGGGGGGGAGGAGGTGACCTCCCCATGTGACCCCCCCACATGACACCTTCCTGGGGCCCCCACGCTCTCCCTGTCCCCTCCCCATGATCCACATCCATCCCACATTACCTTGTGGGGGTGGGAGGGAGTTCTGTCCTCCTCCCACTGCACCAAAGACTTCTGCTGTATAGACCCCAGGCAGGAGGACTCAGGGGAGACAGCTGCATGGAAGGGCTGGGGGGTGGGTTCCTCCTGTGTCTTTCCAGTATGCTTTATCAGCTATAAATACCTTACTGGTACAGCATACCAGACCATACACTGTACTTGCACCGCTGTTCCCTCTGCATAGTTAGGAGCCCTGCATGGCAACTCTCTGCTCTTGCAAGACTTTGATTGTTCACACTCCAGATTTGGTAGCCCTGGGTGAATCCTCCACAGGCCAGGATCAGCACAGAGGCCCAATCCCTTTGTTGCAGTTCCGAATCTCCCTCTGGCTCCTTGGTAGCATGGTTCTTATGGAGTCACCCTACCAGAGCCTTCCCTGCTCGCTAACACCGCCAGGACTCCCCAGCCTACATCCCCACCACGGACAACTCTTCTGTAGCACAGAAGCTCTCTGCTGACAGGCTGATGTAGCCACTGGCTACCACATCCTTCCAACAGAACCCTCACTGGCTGAGGTGGTGAGGGAAATGGTTGATCCAGACCTCACAGCTGGTCACCGGCCCCAGCACATCAAATTCCACATGTGTGGGCCACAGATAGTGCTACCCAAAGCGTTGACACCCACACTGTCAAGGTACATGTAGACACATGTAGCCTGAGGTTTCCTTCTGGTGCATGAAACCAAACCCAGGCCGTTCGCCTTTGTATTCGCCAGTGATTTTAACACAGGGCTATTCTAATTACAGGGTAGCTATA